CTCTCCTGTGTTATAGAGAAACTCAATCACATCTCTATACAAGTTATCAAAGACCTTCCATCTCTCCTGTGTTATAGAGAAACTCAATCACATCTCTATACAAGTTATCATAGACCTTCCCTCTATCCTGTGTTATAGAGAAACTCAATTACATCTCTATACAAGTTATCATAGACCTTCCTCCTCTCCTGTGTTATAGAGAAACTCAATCACATCTCTATACAAGTTATCATAGACCTTCCCTCTCTCCTATGTTATAGAGAAACTCTGGGGGTATTTTTTTACTCTCTGTTCTTAAAACATCTGCTCAACTGAAAAGATCCGAAAATTCTGGAAAATAATTTCAGCTTGGAAAAGAAGTTAAATAAATTACTTCTTTTCTTGATGCAATTCCAACTACATGTATTGACAAAAAGGAAGCATGCAGTCACGCCACCAGAGTTCTACTCATTAAAGGAATCTTTAATTATGCATCAGTTAATTATGCCCTAAATAACCAACTAATAAAACTGTTATATGGGTCACAGTCAAATTGATATTTTTTTTTCTAGAATAGTTAAAGTCTGTTTTAGAATAGTTAAAGTCTGTTTTAGAATAGTTAAAGTCTGTTTTAGAAAACACCAGTAACTGCTTTTCAGTAGAGCTATAGAAAATTGTTTTAAGTTTCTACAAAATATGAATTTGGTTTTAGATACAAACACAAGAAGATGGTAGCCTCCCTACTTGAGTGTAAAAAACATCTTAAAATGGTGAGAAAGACCCACAGGCTTCCTACATTTACACTCCTCATTTCACATCAGAGCAGCATACCTATTTAATATCACCTTATAACATCTCTCATGAGGAATACTATATCTCTGCCTTCCACAGCAGAGGTATCAAATATGTACATGGCATTCCCACCCCTGCAGGTCAGGGATCGAGATAACTGTTATATTACCCACTACATGCATCGTAAGAGGCGACTAATGTGGGAACCCCTGTAGAATTGGGGATTTGCTTTTGTGCCTTCTACTTGGGGACACAAAAGCAACAAAATTAAATCTACTTCACCAATTGCAATTGTTGGGATCTATATATTTCTCTCTACCTCTAATTAACTTTTATTTCATAGTGCCTTGCTTGGCAAAACCTCACTTTTGGTTTTAATGTTGAACATTCTCCCAAGTGATGAAGGCAATGGGTTCTGTCCCCAGGCTGGGACATACCAAAGTCCTTAAAAATGGTAGTTGTTATTCCCTGCTTAACGGTCAGCATTTAGGGAAATGGCAACAGCTGGTTCACCCATTGTCATTATAATGTAACCGGGCGGAATGCTGTTCTGGGTGCCTTCGGCATGGTGTTTCAGTGAGATAGCACTATAAAGTCGGCATCAGATTCTTGCTATTACAAGGAGATAAGTACCCCAACATACCCGCTGTCTCCTGCAAACATACACACATGCACACTTACACAACACACTTGGAGGTACGTCCTTAAATGACCTAAGCTGTTAATAGGACAAAATAAAACCATTTGAAATGGAAAAACATATGCATGTGAAAAGATATTGATACTAACTTCGGGTGACAATCATGAAAATGTCAGCCTGCCTAAATAACCTGTTAAATGGTATGTGCCAGTGACTGCATGTAGCTTTAAGTCCAAAATCTTTTCAACCATTCTTAGAGGTTACATTCATGTGATAAACTTACAAAAGTCGTTAGTCATGGTAGAGTGTCCCACCATTTTCCTACTGTTTACAGACCTTGAAACTTATTTTCCTGCTGAATTTATGTTATTTCTTCTATATTCATTTAAGGACATGCAATCATAGATTGTGGGCCTTTTTAGGGAAATAAAACTTATCCCAAGTAATGTTGCAGAAATTTTTAACAAACATCATGACTCATGGCACACCACCCTGCTTTATAATCAGGAGAGTTTTAAGGAACAAATCCTTGTAGTGAAGCAAAGTTTTTTTTGTAAAAATCCAAATTATGATAAATATATTGCTTTTGTGTATTACACTTTACTTAAAGTCAGATTGGATAAACTATTCCCAGTCATAAAACGCCAAACAAATTGGAATTCTTCTGTTTTGGAGATACAACATAGAGTGCTGGGACACTCTACCTTAACCTGCTAGCATGATAAAGTAAAACAGAAGTGGATTAGCCGGCCAGCATGTGTTTGTGTAACATAACCAGTGCCTTGTTGGATTTTTTTTACAAATGTCATATCATTTTTTAAAACAAAAAGTATCAACTGATATAGTTTGAAATTATAGGTACCTTTGGGAAAAGTGAGCTTGACGAAAAGTACTTGTGTATGCGAGTAAAAAACCCAAAACAAGAAAGGTACTTTTCAGCACTAAGGCACCCGAGGGAACAGTAAACATGGCCTCCATAGTTATACTGTATTAATTCAATTGTAATGTTAGTCATGTGGAAACACAGGAAAAAGAGCTGCTCATTACACTCATAGACACCTAAAACATTAAAACCCCAATATCATAGTTGGCATGGTTTTGACCACAGGGGACTGGTTGTACCATTGATACAAACCATTTCCTAAGTGTACAACACGATAACAACAAACGTCCTTATTGATTTAATTCTTGTCTATATATACAAACAATCGGGTATTTTGTTGATGTCACTCAGCACTCACCAGACACACTAACCTGTCACTCAGCACTCCCCAGAATCACTAACCTGTCGCTCAGCACTCATCAGACACACTAACCTGTCACTCAGAACTCACCAGACACACTAACCTATCACTCAGCACTCACCAGACACCCTAACCTGTCGCTCAGTACTTACTGGACACACTAGCCTGTCATTCAGCACTCACCAGACACACTTACCTGTCACTCAGCACTCACCAAACACACTAACCTGTCACTCAGCATTTACCAGACACACTAACCTGTCACTCAGCTCTCACCAGACACACTAACCTGTCCCTCAGCACTCACCAGACACACTAACCTGTCACTCAGCACTCACCAGACACACTAACTTGTTACTCAGCACTCACCAGACACACTAACCTGTCATTCAGCTCTCACCAGACACCCTAACCTGTCACTCAGTACTTACTGGACACACTAACCTGTCATTCAGCACTCACCAGACACACTTACCTGTCACTCAGCACTCACCAGACACACTAACCTGTCATTCAGCACTCACCAGACACACTAACCTGTCATACAGCACTCACCAGATATACTAACCTGTCACTCAGCACTCACCAGATATACTAACCTGTCACTCAGTACTCCTGCTGCAGTCCAATGACCACACTGTTTGACGATATGTACACATATCCTGTCGACCTCACAAGGAATCTCTGTCGAACTTGGACAATTTCAAAAGTTGTTCACTTCTCTTTAAGGTTGTGCTGTTATCAAATAAGCTTTATCAATAATACCTTTCACCACTTATATACCAAGATTGTTTATGCCTCCAAAAAGCTTGGTTTCACGGACAGATATAAACCATGTATCAGGCAAAAAGCCACCGAGGACAGATGCTACCAGACTCCTGCTCCAAACCGATGAATTTGTCTTTTAGTGTTCCAATTCTTACTACCAAGTTTGGTAAGGACCAGTGAAGTGTGTTTGAGCCAGCAGTAGTAGGTGGAATCTGGAAATACATAAGTGAGGAATCGATCAATACAATATGGCAGTGGTACACACTACACAGCTAAATTCCCTTCTTATTCACAACCTCAGGACCCCAAACACTTCCGCAGAGGAACCCATACAACAAAACACAAGCTAGCAGTCAAACACACATACATAAACTAAAACCTAGCACCCATACAACATAACACAAGCTTGCAGTCAAACACACATACATAAACTAGAACCTAGCACCCATACAACAAAACACAAGCTAGCAGTAAAACACACATACATAAACCAGAACCTAGCACCCATACAACATAACACAAGCTAGCAGTCAAACACACATACATAAACTAGAACCAAGCACCCATACAACAAAACACAAGCTAGCAGTCAAACACATACATAAACTAGAACCTAGCACCCATACAACAAAACACAAGCTAGCAGTCAAA